ACAGGGTTTCTCTGTGGCTTTGGAGGCTGTCCTGGAACTCGCTCTTGTAGACCAGGCTGGCCTGGAACTCACAGAGATCCGCCTGCCTCTGCCTCCCGAGTGCTGGGATTAAAGGCGTGAGCCACCAACGACCGGCGCAGGACAATTTTAAAAATCGCTTGAGATGTAATTGATCCCAGATAATAAACAAAGCCCTTGCGTCATCGCCTTTGTAACATTTGTCAATATCTAGCCTTTAGCTAAACTTGCCTGACTTAGTGGCGCAAAACGATGCTTCTTAGTTATAATTGTAGAGGTTATAAAAGCATTCACAAGCACCGCCGAAATAGCTCAGTTGGGAGAGCGTTAGACTGAAGATCTAAAGGTCCCTGGTTCGATCCCGGGTTTCGGCAGTGATTTTACTACACTACCTGGGCTAGCGTTCACGTCTAGCAAATCACTAGCGATTGATTTACTCCCGCCCGGCGGGAGCATTTCTGGTCTTCCTGTTACTCCGCTACATTTCCTGGTTACCTTCTCTATCATATTCCTTTGGAAGTGATGTTCTGCCTAGCATCTGGCCCAAAGTCAAGGAACCAACTAACCATGCACTAAAGCCACGGACCAAAAGGAACCCTTCATCCCCTTACTGTATTTGTCACAGCAATTGATGTGTGGCCAGCATGGGGTCTTTGGGTCCTTGAGCTGTTAAGAGACTCAAGTTAAACATACAAGAAGGGCAGAAAGTTCCCTGGGCTTGAAGCTGGAGACCACATGGTAAGGCATGCAGATGAACCCCTAGGATAAAAGTGGCTGACAGTCAACAAGGAAACTGGTTCTTTTCCGCAACAGGAAACTGAAGGCTGCCAGCAAGGATAAGTCTGGAAGGAGGCTTTCATGATGTGCTTTCTGACAAGAGCTCAACCATGTCCCCTTTATGTCTCATGAGACCCTAAACACTCCAACCATGTGGTGTGACTCCTTACCTCCAGCATTGAACTTATAAACAAGCCTGGCTTTAAGCCACCAGGCATATGGTAATTCGGTATGAAGCCGTGGAAAAGCCTATCAGCTGTATAGACTTGGGGTATGCATGACAAAAGGTCACTTAAATCCTACCCTGGCCAAGTGCTTGTCTGGGATTCAGAGCAAGTCAGTTCCTTCATAGTCATATTGTAGATATAACGGCACTAACTGTATGGTACAATTATAATATATATAATATACTATATACTAGCCTAACCCCAGTTCCTCAGTTGAATCCAAATCTCTGCAGATATATGCATACCTTATATATGTGTACAAAATTTATATGAAATTTCATTTTTTAGAATTGGCCAAATGATTTATTCTGTGGTTTGGTTTCCCTCAGTCTCCCATTCTCAGTTCTCAGACAATATAGAAGAACCATATTTAAAATGATTTCTCAAAGCAGGTCACCAGGGTACATGCCTGTAATTGCAGCATTTGGAAGGTAGGAAGAAGAAAGGATCGGAGTTCAAGGTTATCTTTGCTATATATTAAATTTTAAGGCATCCTAGACTATGTAAAAAATTGGAGGCTAGTCTGGGCCACAGTAGACCTTTTCTCAAAAAAAAGTTTTTTGATATCTCTACAAGTACCTCCAACAAAGCATATACAAAAACAAATTGTTTCTCTTTCAAAGTCCTTTCTTCTTTTAAAAACTTTTTATTTTATGTGCACTGGTGTCTTGCCTGCACGTATGTCTGTGTGAGAGTGCCAGATCCCCTGGAACTAGAGTTACTGGCAGCCATGAGCTGCCAAGTGGGTGCTAGGAATCGAACCCTGGAGCCGTGCGTTGGTGGCGCACGCCTTTAATCCCAGCACTTGGGAGGCAGAGGCAGGCACATCTCTGAGAGTTCGAGGCCAGCCTGGTCTACAAGAGCTAATTCCAGGACAGCCTCCAAAGCCACAGAGAAACCCTGTCTCTTGAAAAACCAAAAAAAAAAAAAAAAAAAAAAAAGGAATCGAACCCTGGAAGAGCAGCCAGTGTTCTTAACTGTTGAGCCATCTCTCCAGCTTCCCCAACCCTTTTTTATTTTATTTTATAGTTCCATCTGGCCTGGAACTCACTCTATATAGACCAGGCTGGCCTTGAACAACTGATCTTTGCCTTCCTAGTGCTAAGATTAAGGGTGTGAGTTGCAATGTCCCAAGTTATTTTATTTTAGTTATGTATACATGTTTATAGCTTTGTGCAGATGTGTTCATGCAAGAGTAAGTGCCTCTAGAGAACAGAGAGCATCAGATCCACTGAGCAGGAGTCTAGGCAGGGATAAGCTAGGAATGGAATTCTGGTCCTCTGCAACAGCAGTACAGACTCCTAACCACTGAGCTGTTTCTCCAGTCTCAAAATTCATATTATCATCTGTCTCTGTTAGGGTTGGTATTGCTGTGATGAGATATGACCAAAAGCAAGTTGGAGAGGAAAGGGTTTATTTGGCTTACACTTCAGCATTGTACTCTATCATTAAAGGAAGTTGGACAGGAGGAACTCAAACAGGGCAAGAACCTGGAGGCAGGAGCTGATGTAGAAGCCATGGAGGAGTTGCTTACTGGCTTGCTTTTGGAACCACCAGCCCAGGGATGACCCCACCCACAATGGGTTAGGCCCTCCTCCATCAATCACTAATTAAGAAAATGCCTGTATCTGATGGAGGCATTCCTCAACTGAGGTTCCCTCCTTTCAGATGGCTCCAGTTTGTGTGTCAAGTTGACATAAAACTAGCCAGGATGCTGGGCGTTGGTGGCCTTTAATCCCAGCACTTGGGAGGCAGAGGCAGGTGGATCTCTGTGAGTTCGAGGCCAGCCTGGTCTACAGAGCTAGTTCCAGGACAGCCTCTAAAGCCACCGAGAAACCCTGTCTCGAAAAACAAAAAAAAACAAACAAAACAAAAAAACTAGCCAGGACACCAGATCTTTCATCTAAGTTTCCCAGGGCAGTGAATTGCAAAACCTTCCCTTTCCTGTCTTCTAGTCATCATCCCACTTATAACTACCCTGCTGCCCATCTTTGAAACCCATTAAAAACAAAAGCCAAGGCTTCTAACAGTACATGAAGCATTTGGGGGAAAGGGCACACACTTCTCCAGCACCTTGCTTAGTGGTTTTTTTTTTTTAATGCTTTAGGACAGTTTTACTAGCATTTAAGAGAAACAGTACGGGATAGCTGAGAATACTAGCAGCTGCCATAAGGAGAAGTATAAGGAAAAGTCATGCCTTTTAAGCTAGGTATGGAAAGCAGGGTGTGGTGGCATACACCTTTGGTCCCAGTATTTGGGAGGTAGAAGCAGAAGGATCTCTGTGAATTTGAGACCATCTTGGTCTACATAGAGCTCCAGTAAAGTCAGTGCTACATGGGGAGACCCTGTCTCAAAAAACAAACAGCTGGGAGGCAGAGGCAAACAGACTTCTGTGCATTCAAGGCTAGTCAGGTCTACAGAGTGAGTTTCAGGATAACCATGATTGTTATACAGAGAAACCTTGTCTCAAAAACAAAACAAACAAACAAAAAACCCACAAACCAAAACAAAAGCTAGATATGTATAGAAATAGAAGTAGCTTATTAGGAAAGCAAAAAACACTCCCAGGAATGGGAGTGGGCTGGAAAGCTGAGCAAAGAGCCCCCAAGGCTAGTGAATTGTTGATCTTAAACTAGCATGCATATAGTCAATGCCAGCATGCTTGTTTGGACCTTGTTCTTCCTCTTTGTCTGTGCAACACATTTATACAACCCTTCCCCTAATGCCTACTTAACTTGCAACTCACAGCTCGAGTTCTTCTAGTTCTGGAAGCCTTCTTTGACATGCTTCTATTCACTTTCTCCCAACTCCCTACAGGCTACAGTGCCTCACACCACTGGCCAAACTTGATTACAATTGGCTGTTTACCTAATCTTTTCTTTTTTCTATTTGTGTTAGTTATCAGCTAGATAACAGACTGGGGTAAAAAGCACAGAAAATAAGGGTGAGTGAGTGAGTGAATGAATGACTAAAAACATTCCTAGCCATATCCGAAAATGAACTTGTTTTTAGTAACCTCTAAAATCACCTGGTCAAGCTCAGAGGCAGTGACCTCTACTGGCTATTTATGGAAGATGGAGTAATGTATCATGGTGCCAGGACCCAACCCCAGGCCTTGCACATACATACTCAGTGACACGCTGTACCCACAGTCCTTGAGCTCTTTAGGTTCTCCCCTTTAAAGACCCCTCACTGGGCCAATCAGCTGCTTTCCTGAATGGAACAATGAACCAGAGCAGCAGCAGTTTGAATGAGTTGGGGGACTATGGCTAGTTACCACAGGTGCTTCAGAAACCACACAAGGCTCCGGATGCTTTCAGTGGGTAAGGGACAAAAGCTGTGTGCTTTTATTATTTATTGGTTTATTATTTATTTGGTTGGGTCTCATGAGACCCAAGCTGGTCTCAAACTCAATATGTTAAGAATGAACTTGAACTACCCTCCTACCTCAATGTCCCAATAGCTAGGATTCACAGGTGTGCACAACCACATCTGGAGCATCTGAATTTTGTTTCATAAAGTGTACATCTCTAATGAAATTTTAAGATTTTTTTGTACCACTTTTGGGACTTTATTTTACTGACCCTGTAGAGCAAATTCTTGAAGTGTGTGGATCAAACAAGTGTGTGTGTGTGAATGCAATGACTTTTTATAAACAAGGGAAGAGAAGAGCCTAGGTTATCATGCCAAGATTGTCCTCTCTGCTGTAGGCTATAGAGATGAGTCTCCTTCGAGATCTGGCTAATGAGGGAGTAAGGACCTTGACCTTGGCACCATGCATAGTCCTTGTGGGAGAATCCTGGATAGTGGAGTAAAGTTCAGTGTTCGGGTGTAAGTTGTTCTCTGTTCCTTATATTATCACTGCTAGACAGCTCCAGCTCTATAGCTTGAGAGTCCTCAAAGACTTGGTCCTAATTTTTTGAATGTGGGAAGCAGTGGCTGTCATCCTACTCAGTATCAACTCTTCTTTCCCTTCAGGATGAATCTCCTCTGTGGCTTTTCAGCTGTGAAGAAATGAAGGCCCGGGAAGGCAAACATAATGAACCGTCTCTGTGATGAAAGCGTGTATTCCCACTTGAGGGACTTTAAAGGTCCATGAATGCACTGGTTTGAAATACTGCCGAGTCATAAGGTTGAATCATTTTGGACTATGACCCTTGGGATCCACATCGCAACTCATGTCATATTATTAGATCAAAGAGGGATCATTATACACTGTGGCTGCTTGATTGCCCCTAATGTAGGAAATAAATCATATAATGGTGCTCCAGATCTCGGCACAGGGAGGTTAGGCTTTGTACCTACTGCCATGGTTTCCACCTTACCAGAAGACAACAAAACTTTAGAGCAATTTAGCATTCAATCGCAATCAGGCAAATTAAACAGATAAGTGGTTTCTCAAAGAACCTGGTACAAAAACAATCGATGACAACACAGCTAGTTTTCTTGACATGAATCTGAAAAGTTCAGAGTCCTGGAGGTTGAATTTTTAGGATGTTCCTTGGGGCAGAGCCTTAAAAGAAATGGCACTAGCCTTATGAGTCTGTACAGACAGCCAAGCACTTCAGTGGCAGTATGTGACACAGCCACAAAGAGTCACATGTGAAGACTGGTTTTTTTTCTTTTCAAGACAGGGTTTCTCTGTATTGTTTTGGAGGCTGTCTTGGAACTTGCTCTGTAGACCACCACCCCACTTAAGACCGTTACTTACTCCCTAGGCAAAGAATAGCTAATAGAGGTCATAGCCACTCCCAGCTTTGAATTCCAACCCTGACTAATCAATCAGCCACGTGTGCCTGAACAGATTTAGTTTTTCTGAGTGCCTTTTTTTCCCCCATCGCCAGCATGATCTGAATAGTTTCCTCTTAAAAGTTATGTGACCCAGAGAATGAGTTCCTCTCAGCTCTCTGTACTTAGGGCTCCTCATGGGCAGGATCCTTTGGTGCATTCTCTAATGGGAACTCTTTCTCGGCCCATACCTTACTATGCTCATCCTCTCCCAGTGCCTGGACCTTGCAGAAGAAAAAGTGAAATGTTGTCATTGCTTGGAAATGGTCTTTTTGCTTTTGGGGCAGGACCTAAGTGTCTCAGGTTGGTCTGGAGCTTATAGTGTTCCTGCCTCCCCTGCTTTTGCCTACACCACCACTCCAGGCCTTCTATTTGTTTGAGATAGGCTCTCCACAAGTCACCCAGACTTGAGCTCCTGGGCTTGGGAAATTTGTCTCAGCTGATTGCTGAAGACAAGTGTGCCACTTCATTTTGAAGGTCTTTCAAACAAAGTACAACTGCTTATGGTTCCAAAGGCTGGATTTGAACCTGTACATCAAATGGCTAAGAATTTTGAGTATTGTACTTTTACTAGCTTTTTAAAAAAATTTAATTTATTTTTTTCTCATGGCTGGGCATTAAATCCAGGCCAGGCAGGGACACACTAGGTAATCCCTCTACCTGTAAGCTATTTAAGAATCAGAACTATTAATTATGTTTCTCTAAGCTCAGACAGTGACAAATGTCACACTGTAAGGTGTTAAAGCTATTCTTCTGCTCATGAACTTGGACAATGTTGAAGAATTGCAATCTAGGAGCTTGAGAGATGGCTCAGTTGTTAAGAGCACTTACTGCTCTTGCAAGAGGTCTCAGTTTGGTTCCTAACCTTTCTACACATTCTTCTGGCCTCTGTAGCCACCAGACATGCACATAGTACAAATACATACACATAGGCAAAACACTCATACACATAAAATAAAATTCCCAAACAGAACAAATTACCACTGGCCAGGTCTCTCTCTGCCCACCACTATTTTCTGTCTAGTAGGAGTAGAAGCAAATCAGACAATATAGCTTTTTAAAAATTATTTAATTTAGTAGGTTTTTTTTCTTGAAAAAAAGCAATAAGGCAAAAAAAAACTGAAAATATATATAGTCTTGTTTTGCTTTCATGTAACTTTATTCCATCTTCAGGACTTCTAAGCTTCTTCTGTTAGCAGGGATCTGGGAATCAAGCTGGAAATGTAGTGCAGATACAGAGGAAGGGGCTAAAGTAATGAGGTTCTGTGGGAAATTTCCATTCAATCCGAAGTCTCCAGAGTTGGTGCCCATTTCATGGGCCTCCCTGGAGTAACCCCTTGTACTGGGGAAAGCTTTCTTAGGAGGAAATTCCCCAGTGATCAATCTTTAATCATGTTTGATCTAGGGACAGAGAGCCGGTGCGGGGGAGGGGGATGATTAAAAGTACTAATTATCCAGTAAAATCCAATTTCCCTGGAGGGATAGCTTCCTCTGGAATGATATTTTCCCCAAGGACCCACACTGGCTGAGGCTCAATAGTTAAGGAACAAAAACAAAAACACTAACAAAAAGTACATAAGGAAGGCACCTCAATTTGTGACCCTCAACCAAGGGTGGGTTGCACAAGGGTTACAGTTCTGAATAGCAAACTGGAATACAGAAAAAAATGATGAAAGAAGGAAGCCAGGGCCCAGCAGTTCCCACAGGGCACAGGGTTCTTAGCTCACATTCTTGGAAGTAAACTCTTTTGGGATTTATCCTGTGCTGGCTGGGATATAAGGAAGCTAGAAATCACCCTCCTGACTTTCTACCCATATTCCTCTTAAGAAAGGAAACTGAGGCAGGAAAAAGACTAGGACTTCCTTTCCAAGAGCCAGGTGATCAGGAAAGCAGGGCTGAGGCAGCAGTGGGTCACCATGACACAAACCTTCCTCCTCGTCCCTGTTCAGTAACTGTCACATGTGACCCTGTTGGGGTTGCAATGTCCCTCAAAGATGGAAAGCAGAGGGGTATCAACCCATAGTAACATGCGTCCCAGAGTCCCAGGGAGACAGGTGATATAAAAAACCAAGAGTCTTCATGGGAAAGAGGAAAACAAACAAAAAAAATTAGATTTTCTCTACATACATATATATATATATATATAATATACAGATGATTTAACACATTATTCCAGAGGTGGCTCCATTCCATGGGACTTTCAAGATGACGGAAATGTGTGCTGAAGAGAAACTTCTCTCGGATTCTGAAGTACACAGAATGGGTCAGGCAATGTTTGGCTCCAGACTGTGACACAAATTCAAACTGGTAATGTGCCAGGAGAGAAGCCAGAAAGGCAATGAAAGACGGGATGAGGAAGGACTGGGAAGGTATGAGTGGCTAGCAGTCTTCTTCCAACCTGCCTGTGTTCTCAGAGGTTCTCCACCTGAGGAAGACCATAAAACCCCTTCATAAAGATAGCTAACCTTCTTATCAACTACCAAAGAGGCCTCTGCTTGCTGTCAAAGTAGATAGAAAACAGCAGAGGGTGTTGTATGCAAGTGAAGATACAATCTCCAAGAACGTAACTCAGTCTTCCAGCCCTAGAGAATAATCTCTCCGGCAGATGCTCCACAACCTTAGTTATCTACACACGACGCCTCATTAAACCAACCCCACATGTGAGCACATTTCCTAACATGAGACCTGTGCAAGAGGCCTCTGCTGGTTAAGTCTTCTGTGTTTCTTTTTAAGGAACTTTAAAATCAGTTCTTGCTCTGAACAGCACCAAAATGCTCATGAATCACATCTTATGCAGATCTTGGCTGAGCAGGACACTACAAGGGGAGGGTGAATGGCATCATCTTATATGGGGGCAGGGAGAAGACCACGAACACTTACTTGCCTTTGCAGATGTAAGGTAACACTAACTTTCAGCCACTAAACCGCTCCCTTACAAACATGGATATCTGCTACGTCGATTTCAGCGTCAATCAGCTAAGGCAACCAGCCAATCACCACCACGGGTGTCTGCTTCTGGTGATTGATTTGGAAAAAGTGATTGGTTAAGACAGACAAATTTGAGGAAAGCACTTGGTAAAAGTCCCAACTGCCAGCCTTCCCGCACATCCTCTGCCGTCTTCTCCGATCGACCCTCTTCCTTTGAGTTACAGCCGCTTCAGAAAATGTCTGGGCAAGAGCCCCAGTCCTGCTTTTCCTTACATTCCCAGTATTCGCCCCTATAAACATGGGTTAGCTCCTTGGTGACAGGGTCCTTCTTACGCTCAAACCACAGTGCCTTATAGGGGTCATATGGTGTGCCTAAACGGGAAGAAAATGAAAAGCTAGGTTAGAGCTGGCACTCGCCACACACCAAGAAACCACAACGGGGACAGGTGTGTTACCATCTTCCGTGGCTTTCATAGCTTCTGCTTCTCTCCTTTTCCTGGAAAGTCTCTGCTTTTCCTCCAGGCGCTGCTTCTCAGCATTTGCTTCATCCCAGCGCCCATTTTCCATCAGTCTCTGGTCAGGCCGCAACCGGCTGTCTGTGGGTGCAGTGCCCCCTTCCCAGGCGTTGAGAGTGAGGGCAAGCTCTGAGAAGTAGTACATGTTTTCTGCGTTCTTCCTAAGATAACCAAGACAAAGCAAAGGCAGCTGTAAGATCAATCCAACCCAAGGAGCAACAGCTTGGAATACTGCCCTGCATCTAAGTGTCCCACAAGGTGAAAAACTCCAAAAGTCTTATCAGGTAACCAAATGAGAGTCAAACTGCACCACCTCCACCCTTCCCCAGAATCACTTCACCTAATAGTTACTGCAGTATCTACACTCAGAATTATCTATATTTATCAGGAAGAATGACATCTTCAAAATGGCCTCATTCCTATTTCTTTTGCTTCCTTTTTTACCTCTTTCTGGGATGATCTGGCTATTTCTGTAGACACATATACAAGATGATGACAGCAGACAATGGCTTGCACTTGTCGGCAAAGTCCTGTGTGTTAGCAGGTGGAAAGCACCTTCCTCCCCTGGCTGCTTTTGTAAAGTTGTGCTCTGAATCGCAGTGAGAATACAGGGCAGGATGGTGAATGCCTATAACCCAGCTCTTTGGAGGTACAAGTAGAAGGATCAGATCAGAACTTCAAAGAGAGCCTGAGCTATACAATGAGACCAGTCTGGACTCTACATGAGACCCTGTCTCAGAATAGAACACTAAATTATAAAGAGAGTTTTCAATGGACTTTAGAGAGGAGAAATACACTTTGGTATACATTTGGTGAGGTAGAGTCTTGGAACAAAGCACACTTCAATTCCAATCATGTGTACAAGCTCTGGTAATTTCTGCAAAGGT